AGAAAAAAAAAAAAAAAAAAAAAAGCAGTGGAAAGCATGAATCACGTGTTTATCAAGTTCTTTATTTTTCACAATCATGAGGTCCAGCACCATTTCTGGTTAGAGATAGGCAGAAACAGTGCTGCAGCCACACCATTCTTGAGTTTCTTACTCTTATAACAATTTAAACAATTTGCAATGCATTTTTGGTGGGATTTAGTGTTTAAAAAAAGATGCTAAAGACTGATGTCTTTTATTTTTCAGAAAGATCCATTGCTAGATAGGGAACTCTATTTAGGGCACCTGGGTTCTACTCACAGCTTTGGCAATTATGTGTTCTGTGATCTTGAACAAGTCACTATCACTTCTAAGAGAACGGACCAACAAAACATTTGCAGCGAGTTAAAAAGGGGGTGCGGGCCTACCACATCCTATCTTCTTTTCACAGCCATTATCTTTTCTTGCATATCACATGCCCCCACATACAACACATACATTGTTTTTGGGAAGGTAGCAAGAGAAGAAAAGAAAAGATGGTTCTAGACATATGGTTACCTAGACCAGGGTCAAAGCCTAATCTTCAGGTTGCTCCTTCCATTTCCTGCTCAGGCAAAAACTACCGTTTTAACCCCTTCACAGATGTTTTATCAGCAACTCTTGGCTTCTCAGCCAAAAACTGAAGCTCTAGCTGCTGCTGAAGACTAGACTTCATGGGTGGATCTAAGATTTTTAGAAGAGCTAAAAATACTATTCAGGGCACTGAAATAGGATGCAAGAAACCAGGAATAGCTAGCAGACAGCAACATTGTTAAGGAAAGGATAGCTCAATTAGTGGAACATGAAGACCATTTAAAAAGAGAGAGGGTCATTAACAAGTGTGCAGTGAAAAGCAATTAGAAGGAATCCAGTTGCCATGAAGTCAACTGATTCCATCAGAGCTGCCTAAGTAGAAATGCCACCACTGCTGCTGGGCAGTTGGTTTTAAACTTTGGGTGCAGCAAGAATCAAAGTGGGGCATGATCGCACCACTGCAATGGCCAGATCTGCCCTGCTGGACTCAGCCCCTCTCTCCATGCAGTTGCTGGAAGAAGGAGAAGGAAAAGAAGCAGCAGCCATCTTACAGCATCTCCATGCTTCTCTTCTGGGCAGAAAATGAGCTTCCTTGCTTAAGGCAAAACCACAGTTTTGGCAGGCTAATTTTTGGGGAGAAAGTGAGTGTGGTATGAAAGTAAAGACAGCAGCTGTGTGCTTGCTCTTCTTGCATCACAAGTGAAAGCTGAACGGTGGTAACTTAGTACTCAGTGAAACAAGGCTAAGTAACTATGATTTAGTTTTCGCTTATCTCAGACACACAGACAGTTACCATGTATCATCTGCGGTATGGTAGTTTCTGTTCCCTTTAACTCACTTGTTTCTTTCTTTCGTATTGAAAATGGCTTTAGTTTATAGTTACCTTCAAGACTGATGGATAAAGAGCCTGTTAGTTCAGCCTCTGAGTCCATTGCAATTCTTGACTTTATTCTGAAACAGTCCCTGGAGGTTCAAGTGGGGGACAATCATAGTGGGGGGCTTTTCAGGTGGGGAGGGAGGAGATTGTAACCCCCACCACTAGAGTAACACCAGCAGTTTACATGGTACTGATTATTCTTTGCTTGTATAAGTTCAGACCGCTGCTCTAGTTAGATAGGTATCATTGGACTAGGCATTGAAAGATTTCATAGCCAGTTTCTAATTTCCTGTGAACTTTTGCCTACACTCTTAATTCTATCAAACAGCAACAAAATAGCATCTCCTCACTCACACCTCTAACAAGTTTTATGTTTATTTAGGTGTGAATTAGTGCCACAGATATCTAAATATCTTTGTGGGATTGTAACTTGTTATTTAAATTGTTCATTTGCTGCTAATTGTTAATTCAGTGAAGAAACTGAGCCGCTTTGGAAATCAGCAAGGCTGGACGTGTCGCAGTGTTACTGGTCATGGGCTTCATGATTTTCATGTTTCTTAAAATAAAAAATAACTCCAGTTTTGTGCATCTCTTTTGTCTTGGTAGTTTTCCTGGGGATGGGATAGTATGTGATGAGTTGTTGTTTGAAAAAACAATCATTACTTTTTAACTGTGCTGTCTGTGAGGAGCGCATGGGGAGCAGGGACTTATGTTGTATAAATGCTGTAGTGGCACAGAAGACCAGAGAACTGGACCATTTGTGAAAGATTCATTCCTCAAGGTTAATAAACCAGTACTTGAAAAAATAGGGAATCAAGAAAATCGCTGATCCTAATTTAAGAGCCATACATTTAAAACCAGTTTCTGTTTTGCTGCAGGTGTTGTGTTATCAGTTAAGAATGCACACTGGTGAATACTCAACTGAAGTTTTATTCAAATTATGTGAAGCCTTAGAGAAATCTTAATCTTGTCCTTGCTAGCATCAGTCATACAAATGTATATAGGAATGCTGGGCTACTCTCCTGACCGGCTGAAGACTGCAAATGATCATTTGAGACTAGACCCCCCTAGGCAGAGGATATCTGTTGTGAACTGAATTATTCACAAAGTGTTGTGAATAGAAATACAATGCAAAGTAAAATGTCTTTCCTCTGTGCACAGCATAATGGAAGTAGTGTTTGCTAGAGCATGAATTATCCCCAGGTACTCGAGGCAGGGGGACGCAGAGGCATCCTGAGATTCTGGTGATTCCTCATTTAGATCAACTCATAGTATGATCAGTAGCAGAAGGAAAGCCAGGATTTCAGAGAGAAAAGCTTGGTGAATTTTGTGCTATCTTTGAAAAAGGAGATTTTTTTTCACACTGGCAACATTTTGATCAATTTAGGACTTAACTTCTACTCCCTGACAAGCCTCAGGTCTTTAGCAGCCTTTAGATTCCCTGGCTAATGTGATGGGTATGCCACTTTTAGGGATGGTGCAGTGTGTGAGACCAACTGTCTTTCCCCTTTTGGCTCAGATCAACCATAGTTCCTATGCTGACCCGGCAGGGGAAACACTGTGACCACTGAGATGGTTTTCCTAGTTGCACCGGGGGACAACCGCTCTCCTGGCATGGGGGTAGTACCCCCAAAGGTAATCCACCACTTAACTGCTGGAGAGGGAAGATCTGTATGGAAAGGGGTGACTCCTCCCTAGCTTGCTCCTGTAGCCATATGACTGAGAGCAAGCAAAACTTGGGGGCATCTGCCCCCCAAGCCTCCAGGCTTGGGCCTGCATGTAGCATGCCCGCCAAAGGATTTGGAAACATCTGAAGACCCAGCTGGGGGGCAGAGGATGTTTGCTGGTAGTAGGGCCACTTGTGGTTCTGGACTGACTCATGGATTTGGAATTGATTTAGCTGATTTGGTTTGGAACATGGAAAATTAACCCCCTCC